ATATATATATTGCCTAAATCAATTAATACTTATTAAGTCATTTTCAATGTTAATAAAATCGTAAATTGTCAATATATATTAAAGGTCAATATATAAAATCGATCTTTTTATAATAAAAACTGAATGATTTCGCAGATAGTACAGTACTTCTCTATGCTGTAAATTTTTCTTAGTATTCTTCTTGTTCGTTTTCTTAAGTTAAACAATCATCGCTTCTTCACTAATCAATTGTATTTTTTTTTTCTTTGACAAACTTATGTTTTATATTTTTCTGTCATATTCTTCAAATGACATTGATTTCATGAAACTCGGAATCCATATCCAATTAGTTTTACAATTAAAAGCAACTCATGATGGTATTACGACTGGAATCCTTGTTAATTATTTATTATAATAAAATATTTATTGATTTATAATAAAATATTTATTGAATTATTTGCATGAATCGAATTATGAACAAGATGGGCACGTCAAGCTGCTGCTGGAGATCTTGCTCATTTTCGATTTTTCATCTCTATAATTTTCTACTTGTTATCGATGTAAAAATCTTTTCAATTTCTGCATCTCTCATTACGCTATTTAATACATTTCGTTCTCTTATTTTAATGTGTTGTTATACTTAATAGACTTCAAATGTCATCCGTACTTTGTGTAGGATATTATAATTGTGAGAAATTATCCTATACAGCTGTCTTAAAGGACATCCAAAGAACATCTGCATCATAAATGTCATGTCTTCAAGATACTGCGGAGAACTGTGTTCTATGGAACATTTTAAATAAAGATACTTGAAATATTATTTTTATTTTACTTCTTTTTTTTATAGTATTAATAATTAAAAAAACGTAATTTTAAAAATGTAAGTAATAAACAATGTAAAAAGCTTAGGTTTTAACGAGATTAATCAATAATTAATAAATGCCCTTAAGAGCTAACATTGTTTTCATGTACTTAATTTATTCTATACGATAGTAATTTTGATGCGTTTCGATCCATTATATAGATTTACTATGTTAAAGAAGATAAGAAAGCTATTAGCTTTAGTTTTTTTTGTATGAAAAATCAATGTATAAGATGTGAATACAAAAAATTCGTTCGTATCACTATATGTATACTATCTTTATTACCCATCCGTCATATCTTTTGATTCGATACGCTAATAAAAAAAAAAGAAAAGAAAAAAACAAAAAAAAGAATGTCATATTTATGCTCTATTTATTCATTTCTTCCTTATGATCTTAAATGTTTCATTTCTTCCTTATGAGATCTTAAATGCAAATTGTTTCATTTTTAAAAATCGTTTACATATGCGCTGCATATGAAACACATAAGCATAAAAATCGAGAAAGTTGCTTCTAACATTTACTATTGAAGTAGAATATGAAAAATATAGAATCAGAGAGAACACGTGCATGTCCTTCGGAAATGCATCGAACAACGAAAGGAAGTCATTATTGGGATACGCTAAAAAGGCCGGAAATGTAACGCGTAGATTCATAATAACCGTGCAACATGCTTTGCTTGTTCGTGTTATGAAATTCATAATACGATGGAAAATGACACATCGATGCAGAACGGCAAGGGCGCACTATTTCAAGCTTAATTCATATGTTCCAATTTCCTTTATTTCATTCAGTATCGTTCGACATTACACATATAAGTACTTATTTCACATAAAGAAATTTATTTTATTGCTTCCTCATTTACAGACATCTTTAATATAAAAGAGTCTCGCAAGAAATAAGATAGATTTTTTAATTTAAGGATATATCAGATGCATAGTCTCTGTAAAAAGTGATTGAAATTGAACATTAATATTTTCCGTATAAAAATGAAAGTTTTATATATATATATATATAAAAGACTTTAATAAAAAGTAAATATTTTATGTTTAATAATACAATTTTATTGTTTAAATGAAAATTTTTTTCCTTTTATCTTAATTATTTAAAAACATGTCTACTTTTTATAAAGATATTAACTTTTATTCAGATCATTGCTGCCAAATTTTTTGTACTTTTGTATTTTTTGTTTATTTTCAAATATAATATGAAAAAATCTATAATTTTATCATAATTTTATTTCGTCATTAAAAAATATATGTAATATCCTTAAATAGAAAGATTTATCTACTATATTCGTTAGTCATAAGTGGTTAAGTTGAAAAAATATAATTATTCGAACATATTCTCTTTTTCCATTATTTAAATTTTTATAGATTTTTAACCTTTTGTGGATTGGCGCATCGAAAAAAACCATTATTTTTCCGAGTTTTATATCGTAGAAATTCTAATATTTTTTCATCGTTTACATCTCCAAACAAAACATACAATTGTCAGCTACAAAAAGGATAAAATCAAGAAACAGGAAACAAAAAGTATATTCTAGAATAGGTTTTAATCCCCAAAAAATTTTAGAAAAGATTTTTTTTTAAATTCTTAGTTAGAAAGTTCCTATTCACAAAAGCCATAGAAATAGGAAATTTCTTTCAGAAAGGCACCTTCAGGCTTTATTTGTAAAATACACATATTTTCAAAAGATAATATGGATTCCATAAATCAAGTATTATCGCTTAAAATTGTCCATAAATCAAGTATTGTCGTAAAAACTGCATAAAATCAGTTAGAATTTTATAGAATTTTAATATATATATATTATTATTTAAAAATTAAATTCAAATTTATGTATTTAAAAAATAATTAGGTATTTATTTATATATTTAATTATGTACAATTAGATTATAATGTAATCAAATATAATTAATCGGTAACGTTATCTTGCGTTCATGGTGTATACTCTTTATCTTTCTTTTTTTAAATTTCGACTACATATTGACATTTATCGTTTAAATTCATCAAATAATCATTAAAATACTTTCAACTATCAATACTCTATTTTTAGTATTCTCTTTCATGATTTACAATTAAATAAAGATTAATAATATTCTATATACATGCTTTAAATAAAGATAAATGCAATTTAAAAAAATTATGAAACAATTTAAGCTTATAAGAAAAGGATCAAAAATTGAAACGCGCTTTTAAAATTTATGGCAAAAGATATAAATTTTCGTGCTCAGATTAAGAATTCTAAATCATAAATTCAGATATCCCTTAATTCTTTCAAAAATAAATATAAAGTAACAATAAGTATAAGAATTTTTCGACTCTGTCTATGTAGCAAAATAATATCTCAGGAAAAAAAGGAAAAAAGTTATTGTTATAATATTGTAGGACCAATTAATTTTTTTTACACATATTAATGAGTCTCTGTCATCAATTTTAAATTAAAACAGCAACAATGAACTCTATTTTATATCGCTTACATCGGACAAAAGTTGATTAATCCTAAAATATCGTTTAATATTTTTCCTTTTTCTTGTTTTTCTTGAGATTTGTTATGCTATGTGATTAATCGTTTCGATAACATTAAAATTTTTATATTTTATATTTATTTATTGTTCACGTAAGTATTTAATAAATAATATAATTAAAAAATGATTAGTAGATCTTTAATGATCAATATAAGTTATGTGTGTGTGTACTTTAATACAGATTCCATAATCACAAATATTTTCTTTATCGTAATCGACATAACAAATTTTTTTAAAAATTCTAACAACTTACTTAATTTTGATTACAATATTTCTTCAACGCTTATATATCATAGTCATAATATATAATATAAAACTTGACGTATGTATTTTTTAATATGTGTATATCCGTTAGCTTTTGAAACTTTATTCTTAGTAGGATTTTTTATAATTAGAGATTCTTAATATATGAATTTTATGTTTTGTAATAAATCGTATTTTAAAAGCACGTTTTCACTTTTTGGTTCCTCCTTATCGATATAATAATGTGTATAAATGAAAAAGTGAATTTATACAGCAGGGATGGACACCTCACGCGAATAATGAAATCTTAAACAGCGTTACTTAACGAAATAATTAACAAATATTAAAAAATTATAAAGAGAAATTGAGAAAAAATATAGAAAAACTGTAAAATAAACAACTCTAATTATTTAATTGCAAAAGTCTGTGCTCGGACCTTAACTAAATTCCGAACATATGTATAGCATCTCTCTCTCTTTTTTGTACACTGATCATTAATCAAAAAATAGTACCTGAGTTCATAGCTTAGAGAAAAGATAAAGGACAGCTCGGGAGATCGGGTAGGAGACCATGTATTGTTATTCATTTCTTCGACTTATCTCTACCAATAGCATAAAGGATTTTTCCTCCACTATTTTGAAAAAATATCGTATTGGTGGATGTTTTGGAAAAATATCGTCCTAGCGAAACGCTAGTGGACGCAGGCGCCCTGAGAGTGGACGCCGCCCCTGTCGAGGCAGCGGTGGCGACAGTGCCAACGGGTGGGGACATCTTCGTAAGATGGAAGATCGCTGCATGCGAACGTTCAGTGAGTTCAGTCACTTCAGTCTCGTCTGACCTGCCGCAAGGTGAGGTACGCTATACGCTCGCCGGGTCTGACAGTACGCGTGACAGTGCCAAGAGATCGAGGTAAAGCCGGTAGGTGCCTAAGAGTGTCGCCGGAGTGTTGCGCGCGCGCCGATAATGAAATTCATCCCTCGTCTGACACAGTACGACAGTGGCAGCAGAGGTAGCGACAGTGACATCACTTACAACACTAGTACTAGTAGTAGTGATCGCGGTAATAATATATCGTTTCGGTGCGACACTGTCAGTGATAGTAAAACGAGCAGGATGTATAAACGACAAGATCACCGAATATTATAATAAACGCTTTTTTTTTTCGTTCCCCCCCACCCCGAACACACTCACGTATATACACATACATACGCACGCACGATTGTACGTACGTAACGTACGGCGACTCTCGCGAATTCGCGCACACGCACACGCACACGCGTACGCGTGCCGAGCAGCTTCGCTGTTCGCGATAGTGTCACGTTCTTGAGTCGCGCGCGAAGAGTAACAAATGGGGGAGTAATAAACAAAGAGAGATACACACATATGTAAATAGAGTGTTTTTCTGAGTTTTTCCTCTCGACCCGTGAGTGGGTTCGCTTTGAAAGTGAAGTGCATCGCAGTGTGATATCGCTAGAGAGAAACTTGTCCTCGGTGAAGTGCGGTGTGTTGATCGATCGATCGAGATTAAAGCCTTTAACAAGTATATAAATGGAAACAACGATGTTGTTGCCAATCGTACCTACAGTAGTCACGAAGGTCCACGACGACAAAGATTTTGCAGATGTGAATTATTACCACCTCTTTCGTAAACAGCTGCGGGATCGATTGCACGATCAGCAAGAGTTGGAAGAACGATTGCAAACGTTGTTGGAGTGCACGAGGAAGCAGAAACAACACCAGCAGCACCAGCAGCAACTTTACCAGCAGTTGCAACTATTGTTGTCACCAAATGATTGTAAGTTTTTCTTTTTTAATGCCGAATATTCATTGCGGAGAATTTTTATTGCGATATTTTCGAAGCTTTCAATTTCTTAACTTTTAATCGAGATCTAAATCTTATCAAGTCGAATGAGAATTAATTGAATCTCGGACTTATTGATTATACGTTGCTTCGTAAACTAAAACAATGCATGTGAAGGTTCGATCTTAATTTGGAAAATAGTCACCTGTTATTTGCTCGCCTCCAGCCATTTGATCATATTTCTAATGTTATTTTTACTGATATTATTTGATTGGTCAATAATTTTCTATTAAGTTGAAAAATAATTTTTCCTTTTTCTGAAGAACTTAATTTTTTTAATTGTATCACTTTGAAGTTAAACAATGGTATTGAATATTGACTGTTTTCTGGCTTATCAGTATTTTTGAGAACATTAAGAATATGAATTTACTCGTAATTTTTCTGGAAAAAAAGTAGAAATCAAACAAATATTACAAAGGAAATAAGTAACGAGACCTTCAATTTTTATTCTTTAGAATAAGAGAGATTTTTCTTCACAATAGAATAATAGAATAAGATCATTCCAAAAAGAATTTAGAAAGTATGAATAAAAAAGGAAAAAAGTAACATATATAATATTTTGCAATAACTCACGTTTTCTCAAATATCCCAGATGATCTGTTAGGTTCACATTAAAAGAAACCGTTTACGTTGAGCCGGCCGGCCGGCAGGCTTTTGACGCTTTGTCCATTGCAGAATTTATATCCAGTAACATGACAATAACATAACGCCGATGCTATAATTTCACAGTGTAACTATTATGTACAACATGTGTTTTGTATTACTTTCTAAAACTTTTAGAATGAATCTTACTCTTAAGAATTGAAAAAGAATTGAAGCCACTTTTTTTGAAGGCTAGCTCAATTTTCACTCTTTGAAATTGAGATTCTTCCATTTCAAAGACTTTAGAGAGTAGATTTATATTGAGAGAGAGAGTATGAAATTGCATTGAGAAAAATTGAACGAATCAGAAGATCATTATATCAATTAGAATTTTGCCTTTACCTTGACTAAAATTATAATAGATACAATTCTCAGAACATTTTAATATATACATTTCTCATCAGAATTTCAATTAATATAACCAAGCTCTTTTTCCAATACGATGTTGTGTTATTGTTTAGTTTACTGAATAAGGTTCTGTTTTTAATCGTACTAGTAGATTAAAAAGACTCAATGATTGTTCGCGCAAACTTGAATTACGTGGATTTGATTCTATCAATTATTGTCCACGTGAATCTTAATTCTCGGCGTAAAGCTCGAACGCCGTATTGAATATACGGCATTGCGAACTACTGATAATGTATACTGAGAATGTACTACACTAATACTGCTACAATGCATACGAACAATCGATATGGCTTGTCGTTCAGTGCGATTGATTCGTGATCTGTGGATCCGGGTTCGATCCCACCTGCGCCTCGTAAACGCGATTTTTTCGCGTTCCGCGTTAAACTGTAGACTGTTTACCCCTCGAATGTTGACAAACTCTAAAGAGTAGTAAGAATGCAAACTACTATCAAATGCAAAAACATAAGCGAGCCTTTACTCCCCGAGGAGGCTCTAAAGAATTGATACGTATGGTATACTGTGACCCAATAATGGGATCGGAAAACCAAACAGGAAAATATACAAAGACAAAGACAACAATCGGTATGTGTACAACGTACGTTGAGTTACTTGTGTTCCCTTTCTCTCTCTCTCTCTCTCTCATCTCGACTTCTCTCTCGACTCGATGACCATAAGTTTGCATGAAACTTAATGGATAACTTAGGGAAACTGTAGCGAGAGAATTCACGAGCGACTAAAACGTAGAATATAAATACGAGTAACAAGATTAACATGTAACTTCTATAATTAGCGGGACCGTGTACTTGTGCGCGGTTTCACGCGCACGGTCGGTTCATCGAACCTTACCTACCTACCTGCCTCGAGTTTATCGGGAATCGATGGGAATGAGTATGACGCGTGCGCTTGCTCATAGGAATCCGATTTGCCCGTGTTGCGCTTTTTAAAAGGCTCTTTACGAACCGTGACGGGACTGCCGGCAAGACGATCGCGTTGCTCCGCACGCGAGCGGAAACATATACGCACGAAACAGACTCGATCTGACGCACTTTACGACGCGGATTCTATACTTACGCGCGCGCGCGCGAATCTTTCTGGAATCTTTCTGGCAAGCGCAAAATACGACGCACGAATCGTCTCTCCTAATCTGTTTTTTTTCTTTCCAGTCGCGTGAATTTTCTCTCGCGTAAACATTACATTTTAATAATATTACTGTAGCTACGTAGACGATATACAGCCTTAGCTGTTAAGTATAAGGCACTTTCAATTTATTCTCTTAAAAGGCTTATTGGCTGTAGTAAAAAGTATTAACAAAATAAACTGTTATAAAAATAAATATTTTTTTAATAAAACGTTTTATTGAAATGTAATTTTCGATAGATATGTCAATTTTTGAAGGTATTTTTATATTTATGGCCAAGGTTATGTTATGTATATATTATATTATAAGAATATAATATATTATATCTTGTATTGAAACGATTATGTCAATTAATCGCTCGGAAATTTTATTTGATTTATAAATAGTCGGCAAATTCTGTTTTTTTCTAGAATGAATGAAGGATACGAATATTCGGGGATACTTCATATTGTCTATTTTCGTCTATTCGTTATTTATTCTCAGATATTTTTGCTCCTATTTATTTTTCCATGAGAAAGATTCGCGTGCAAGTTTTCAGTGATTTTATCAAAAACACGTACGGTGCCTTCTGTCGATTTTAAACTCATCTCGAATATGTGCGACATGTACGTTTTTCGTGTCTATTTACATCTTCATCGGAAAAAGCATTTACGAATTTGTACTCCGAAAAAAAAAACGTTAACGCGTCATTTTTACCGGAGCAAAAAATTGCCGATCCATCAGAAATGAGCAGTACCTTCTTTTTTTCAATTCGCGTCAAATACATTCGTGTTTTCTATTCATATATTTTACAGAGAAAAGAATATTTTACTTATATTTTTTTATTTCTTTTGTTATTTTATTTATACATTTTTTTTATACTTATATGTACTTTTACTTATCTTTTTTCTTCGAAAATCACGATTGCGAATTTTTTAAATACTTTGCCAAAAAAAAAACCTTTCAGCTCATCTATCTCTGTATAAAGTATTTTTGATGCTTTCCGATTTATTTTCCGAGAATTGCTAATTTATTTTTGCAACTAACTACCGTCGTGATTTTTCTGATGAGCACGTCACGTTGATTCCTCGTTCGATACATCGACTAAGGCCATTTGACGTGATAAAAAAACTCGAGTACTTGCACGTGGAAGCTTTCATCGATCATCGACGGAAAGCACGCGCTGTTTCGACTTAATCGCCGAGCCAGTTTGCCGTTTTCGCTGTTCCAGTTTTTCGTTTCAGTTTGCCGACTCACCCTTAATTAGCATCCGATAGAAAAGTCGACTCGTTACACTCGCTCGAGCGATAATGTTCAGCGGAAGCCGAGCGTACTTAGCTATCTGCACCTGGACCGGTTTTCCGTTCCTCGCGACTTGTATAGGCAGCAATTAAAGGGGTTCAATCGCGACGCCGCGTATCGTGTCGCGCGTCGCACGTTTTCGAAAGTCCGAATGAAAGCGGTTCTCCGGCACTTTATCAGATCTGCTCTACTCGAATAATTTCTCTCCCGCGTGACGTGGTACGATTCGGCCGCGGCGATTTTACGCCGCCGATGAAATTATCTTTTCCTAAAGGAGAGAGAGACCGCGATGCGTTTTTTTCACGAAACGCCTCACTTTAAATTCAATAAAGAAATTAAATTAAAAAATACGTTTTTTATTTATTTATTTTTTTGTATTAATTTTTATTAATATTTCTATTGTATCAAAAAATTATACTTGACAAATTACTTAGATTGCAATCCGTGATTAATGTAGCAAATTCTTTAGATTTTATATGACGTGATTGTAAATGTTACTGTCATTATTCGGACGCTCGGATGTTTCAGTTATGCCTGTATTGTCACGCATCTGTCAGTAGTGTCAATAATCGAAATTAATCATAAGAGTCGCTAAGATCGCGTCTAACTCTATAAATCTTAGTGTCGCGAGAGTGTGGCAGATAATAACTAATTATTAAACACGCCGCGCGATTTCGGACTTTGCACTATTATATCTCCGCTGATGGGGCACGCAAGGGCAAAGATAACGATATTTTTCTTACATAATAGAGACCCATTGCGATCGAATCCGTTCGGCTCAGATATCATATGCGATGCGACATATTGCGGATATTCCTTTTGGATTTTATATTTTTCGTGATAACGAGGTTAACGAAGGGGTTGATTCATTAGAAACACGTAGAATATACATTTTAATCTTTACTGTCGGATTGATTTCGATTTGTCGTACTTCAATTTTATACAACTACCTAACTGTGCATTGAGCGTCCAAAAAGAAATGAAGCTTTTACACATATATTCGTTATCTCGTTGACTCTTGGTTTAAGCCTGTTAAATATACTTGATTAAATAGATGAGATAGGTCAGTAATTTAAAGACAAGTTCAGCATCATAGCGCCATAGACATAGGTCAGGACGATAGCGTTACAGAGGCAGGTCAGTACCACAGTATACAGGGTGTTCGTAAAATTTATCTTCAAAAAACGTAAGAATTAATATTTTTTATTACCGGTTTTTTTTTCCTTCTTTTAAAGAAATATGTTAGTGCCTTTGTAATTCTATAAATTACAATTCTGTAAATAATTTGTTTTCGTTTAGATTAACAATTTCAGCATCATTTTTGCACAATAGTTATTTTTTTTAATGCGATCAAGTATGTATTAATAAAATAATTTTTTTATACGACTTTTCGGACAGATCTTATTTAATCCATACATTTTTCTTTCCAAGCAATTAAAAAAAAAGTGAAGAATCGAATTTTGTAATTTTCTCACGCCAAGTGACAATGGATAATTAAGTCGTTCCGTTTGTCAACATATGTCTGTTTGCGTGCGCGATCATTTGTTGTCCGCGTGCTCGGAGCCATGAACGAGAGCGTTTTTTTCTTCGCCGGGTCGAAATGGTCTTTCTTTGGTCCTCAAAGCTTTGTCTCCCACATCGGTTACTTTTAAACTTTTTTTCTGACAAACTGTCAATATTGTTGGAAACATATGAAATTGGGATGTAGAGATCATTGTAAGTTACACGAGATATATTTAAACGTGAAAACTAATTCATTAGATACACAATTTTTATCGCACATCGTAATATGCTAATGTAATGACTTTTGATATTGTTAGGATATATTAAATCAGATACATTAAATTTAATTTTTCTGACATTTTTTTTTATTAAATTCTATTTTTCCAAGGTTTTTGATTTTTTAAAACTGAAATTTTTTTTATTCATTTTTTTAATGTTATTATATAATCTGTCTCTATTTTCTTTTTCTACTCCCAAGAGTAAATAAATTAATATAATCTCTCTCTTCTCTCGTAACTCTTTAAATTCTTTCGAGTAGAATCTCACTCTAAAGAGTGAAAATTTAATCAATCTTAAAAAAGAGAGCCTCAGTTTTCTATCTTGAACGAGATTTCACTCTTCACAGTGAGATTCACTCTAAAAGTTTTTGAGAGTATTCATTTCAAGCAGTGTTCGAGCATTGTTTGTATCTTGTCCCACGTGTTAAAAATCTGTCTATTGTAGAATATAAACGAATTAACTAATTATTAATACTTTAACGCAAAAAGATCATTTTGCACCGTTTAAAAAATAATTGAGTCGAATATGTAACAAACTACAATGCTATAATAGGTAATCATTAAACGAATTTGACTGAATGTTTGATAAACTTGCAAATATGGGAGAAAGGGAAAGTATGGTGGCACGTAAATATCAGTAGAATTGATCTTTCCAATCATTATTCATATGGATCACCCGCAGGCGTCATCCGTACACAGCTTCCCATCTGCTTTAGGCGAAACTGTGATCTTAAATCGCAATGCATCTCACTGGAACATTCAAGTGATGAATCATGCTATATAACTGGCATTTCCGCGTATTTTCAATCGCCGCGATTGCTCCAGTACTATCTTAAACTAAATTGCAAAAGACCTGTCATTGGGTTGACTCCTCCAACTGATCTCTCCCGAATTTATTATTTATTAGTCATTTAATTCTGCGCCACAAATGAATTAATTGTTACGAGAAGAACATAGACTGTAATATTACGCAATTATTTTTGTATTATTTGTTTTCGGCTTATTTCAAATAATTAATATAACGGAAGTTTGATATACAGATTAATGTCATGTATTTTCTTCTTTATGTTTCCTCGATCATTTTCATTGTTGTAAAGAAAGTATACTCGGGGTAGATTACATATCATTCTTTTATTTTAAAAGAATATACTTATCCCTAAATGATCTCTATAGTTTTCTTTTTTAGTTACAAAAACGATACAATTCAAAATGTATCACTTTGTAGAAGATATTACAATCTCTTTGAAAATCTTGAAGGAACAACACACGTGCTATTTTGAAGTAAGGGAACGATAATATATTATTGTATATTACAATGTAGATAAAATTGTATCGACAAGACACGAGATACATACATTTCAGTTAAATGCTGTGATTGAATTAGATCAGAAAGAAATGTTGGATATTGACTGACTGCACGTATTAGAAAGTAATATTAAAAATCGTATATTAGCTGCGAAATTTCCGAAGGGATATAAATAATGCCGAACATACCTAGTTTTCCATGCAGATAAGAAGTTATCCTGGGTGACAGCTAGACATCGGTTTATCAATGGTCAGAATAATTTTGTAAATAATAATTTGTCACTTCGTGGCACTATGTTTATGTTTTTATGTTTTGTTTTTTATGTTATCCATTTTATTTTCGCTCCGTTTTACGTTGTTTACCTAATTTGCAAAATTTTCTTCTTTTGTTTTTCTCCTTCTTCAATTTTTCTACTTACATCATTCAAATATTCACGCAAGTCAACTTAAACTTCATTCGCGAGTTTATTTCCTAATTAAATTTAAACACTGTAATATGTAGTTATAATTTGTTTGAAGATAAATATAACAATAATATTCATATTTTAGACAGATTCTTAGTTTAATATTTTGTATAATACATATTTTATTTATTAATATATTTTGTACATAATATTGATCAATTTTATAAAAAATTAAAAACGAATAAAGAAATGACAGAAAGCAAATATAATGAAAAGGTCATCTATTTTCATAGTATTGTGCACATTATCGCAATCTTTATTCCTATTTTCGAAATCATTAATTACATGTTGTACGTTATTGATGCACACGATGCTAGCATTACGATACGTGATGTAATTCTGTACTTTACTCTATCGCAACATATTGCAATCAACAATGAAGAATAATAAAAAGTAAAAACTTCACAATTACATTAAACAACTAAATTTAAGATAAAAATGTTAAAATTCTATGTTATTAAAAATAAAAAATTAATTTTTGATACTTACATGGAATTTGAAATTAAATTTTTTATTTTTGATACTTATGTGGAATTTCATATTTTTTCATTTTCAGTCATAATTTTATAATAATTTTTAAATACTTTATTATGATATTGTATAATTTAATTAAAAGTTTGTTTTATAAACTTGTTTTATAAATTAATTTCTTATGTTTCAGATAATCGCAACAACTATCGCAACAATGTTTCACAACATCAGCAACGATTACAACGGAGTACTACAAACACAATTGAGGAAAAACGTACAAAAAACCAACTGCAGCCGCAGGTACAGCCGAAGCCGGAGCCGAAGTTCGAACCGGAACCAAATCTGGAGCCCCAGTTGAATCCACAACCAACGCTGCATCCGGATCCAGCTGACCTGCCTTTGGTGGAGGAAGATGATTCAAAACCGGTATCTTTGTTTGATGTACTGAAGAATGTAAAGCTGGATGATGCAAAGCTGGACCTATTGAAAAATTTAATTGAAAAGCTGGAATCCAAGTTCGAATTGAGTGAGCCAAAGCTCTCACAGTTGCACCAGAATCTGAAGTCGATAGACTTCGATTCGCTGCCGATTTCGAAATCGATATACTCGCAGTATGAAGAAAACTGTTCACAAAAAAATGAACTGCTCAATTTGGAAGACTCTGATTCAGAAAGTGAAAGTCTTCCTCTTCGCCGAAAAACCATTGACTTTGAAGAGCAACAGTTTAAAAATTATTCCACGGCACGTAAAATCAAACTCTTAAAGCGCCAAGTCTTTATGAATAAAAGATCTCCCTACGCAATGCTGAAACCCGTAAAGCGCTTCCGTGATTTCTTTGAAGTGTACCACGCATCATTCAGTACCATTCGGACTAAAATTAAAAATTCTCAAAATCTTCAATGTAGTCCAGTTCCCTCAAAATCTTCAGGGGTAGATAGTCTAATGTCCTCAAATTCTTTAGAGGCAGATAGGTCAATTCTCTCAAATTGTTCAGAGACAGATAGTCCAGTTCTCTCAAAATCTTCAAAGATAGATAACTACCTTCACTATATGTCGGACGAAGAAGAAGACTATTTAACGCGCTGCAAAAGTAAAACAGCGAAAGTATTTAAAATGGCCGAGGAGAAGTACTTGAAAGAGTGGCACTCGTGGAAGCATACTGATTCCTTCCAGACTGATTCCGATGAAGACGGGGCGACTGATTCAAGGATTGCTGTAAAGGAAGAGCAGGAGGTGAGCTTTCAACATCAGTTCAACATGTCCCAGATGATGGAACAGTTTTCAGTCCGGTCACCATCACTACTGAAACCATTATCATCAAGAGCTTCACATATACCATGTACATCATCAGGAGCTTCACATATACCATCAGAAGCTTCAACATCATTAGAAATCTTACCATCACCGATCAAGAATCCATTGAACAACGAGGACAATCAACGAATTACTCGAAGGAAGCACGAAGAGATACAACAGCAGATGGCATACAATATTAAAAAGAGCACCCTTATCGACCATTGCTATCACCAAACGAACGTGTCTGAAAACCTTCAAGTATTTAAAGAAGAGTTAGAGACAGAAGAATCCGGTAAGTGAAATATACATTTTGAATCTCGAACTTTTCGATAAAATCTTTTTGCGATTTAACGATGAACGATTTTTGGCTTTTTTTATATAGTTCGGATTTAAAAACAGCCATTGAGTATATTTAACATCTCAATAGCTAATGCGCTAATTTTGATTAGATATTGTTTTCCATCGACTCCTAGATAATTCTCACTTATAATATCACAAATAATATGTTCAATATTAACAATAAAGAAATAGTAAATACAAATTTTTATCAAGTTTAATATTAAGAAGACTCTATGTATATATATGTGTACATATATATAGATATCTAGCTATTTGAAAATAATTTGACGATAGTAGTGCGCGAATCGTTCCTCGGTAGATCACAAAAATCTATTACCTGCTCAATACGTAACGTATGCAAACAGATAAGTTATTACTTTAATAGATTTATCTTACAATTTTTTTGCGCTATTTTATTCAATTCCGTTTTTCTGCATTTCACACTAAAGTTGTTCAGAATGAAATACCTGATGAAGTTGCAAAAAAAAATACCGTACGAAATAAAACAAGTATGGTAAAGCGAAATAGAGTATTGTCGAAACATTTTGAGTTCGATATGATATCTCGAACGCGGGGGATCGCGCAATCGGCGGCACGGTGCCCTGGAGTGCACTCAGCCGAATTCGGCTACCCGCATGAGTATGCTAATCGCGGGGACTCGGTTACTCGTCATCGCGCCTGTTTGCTCGCGCGACGACGACTGAGAAACTCGTTTTCGTGCGCGAGCGCGGAGGTCGGCAAACTAACGTCCTCAGGCAGTAATTTATTGCGAGAGAGATCCCGTGAGAATTTCGTGCCGCCGCGGAATTGATTCGTCAGTACGTCGGAAGGAAAGGAAAGGCGACAAAAGAAAAAAAAAACAGAAGAAGAGAGATAAGAAGGAAAAGAGCGAGAAGAGAAAACGGGCCGGGGTTTCGGGCGAGACAGGTCCGATAAAGCGAGAAACACGCGTGTCCTCGAAGTAACGACCTGGGCGACATGGATTTTCGCGGTTAACGCTCGAGTATCTCACATTAATCTGAAAACAATCACTTGATTTTTACATCCAGCAGTAAGAAAGTAGAACTCAGTCTAATAGTAGTTTTCTTTATTGATCAGGAATCCATCCCATGTTTCATTTCCCTTCATTTTTTTTAGAAAGTATTAAATCTATTTATACATAAAATTCTCGAATACGGATAAAATGTAGATAACATATAATATGTAATTTAACCTTACATTACTCTTTTTTTTTAACGTAATATTCGCGTGGAGTGTTTCTCATATTTTATATGTTGAGCCAATTTTCATACTTCTCTTTAGTGATTTACAACTAACAAGTAAAACTGATAATATTCTATACGTTCTTCAAAAAAATTAAATGCAAAACTTTTTAATTGTTAAATAATTTACTAAATATAATAATAAATGTGTATAAATAGCAATTATATTTAGCGAATTTATTTATTTTTATAACGAATTATATAATAATAATAATAATAGTGATTTTTAATTGAAGTGTAAAAAAAAAATACTTCACGTAATTGTTTATGTAAAAAAATTAGGTGATTATTCCTGAATTAAAACCATCCAGCAATATCTGTAATGTGTCATAGTCATATAATCGCGATTACCAAACGACTCGCAGTGATTACGCGAACAATATGTATTACGTAATTTTTCCTTTATTCAACTCCCCAGGAGTATTATGTAAATTCCCGTGAAACATTGTTTTGTATAAATGCAGTTTACTTAGGCGCGTGAATCCCCCGAAGTTTATTCTTGTCCTTCCACACGATCTTAAAATCTGTTTAACTTGTAAATGCTATGCTAACCACCGTATAGATCCTCCTATGAATTTTCATGCTGGAGGCGTTTGATGGTATTTCTAGAACTCGCGGGATATTTGCAGTGCATCCTCTTGAGGTGTATTTCAGCGAAACAGTTATCGTCTCGCTAAACAGCCATTAAATGCACAACGTAAATTGCGTTTCCGCGCACAACGCTCGCGATACCTCCTTGGCGGAGGTAGATCTCTTTCTTGTATACAGCAGATGTGTATAGAAACATAAAATATCGAGCGTACTCGTACAATTTTCTCAATACACCATGGACAATAAGTCTCATTCGCGCTGCATCGCTCGTTCCTACGTCAATATTGACAGAAGATGCTGCGAACGCGCGCAGCACCGTAAATGTTGTACTTAATTGCTGGCCTCTCTCGGCACTGTTTCTCTTCTTCAATGACACCAATGATTACTGATTACCATCGGCAAAGGAGTTGATAGATCGTCGTAGCGATCTCGACGACCCGGCTGTTGAAAACCCGCTTCTCGTGTCATGTCTTCGGCGCGCATCGGCAAAATAGTGTCGAGGTCGGGAAAAGTTATCTGTTCGTTTGTACATCGAATTAAGATCGCGAAGACGCCAGGTTTCTGCGAACTATCATTATTGTTTAGCTTCTCGAAACTCGAACTGACAAATAACGAGGGATATATTAATAATAAAAATATAATGTAATTTAAATCACCCGATAAAAAGAGCTTATTCTGATTTTTCACTTTTAAAAATTCATACGACTGAAAAAAAAAGAGATCTATATGGAAAGGACGGTTTTGCTGAAATATCTAAAATTTTAGCTAGATACAGATCTGAAAATAATTTTGTTGAACCATCAAAATAATTATGTAGGATTAGATGTAGAAAATTGTCGCTAGTTGCACAATAAGGCGCAACTCGGGAATTGAAAGCGATCGATTAAAAGACTGCTGATAAAAGTAACATTAGTGTGGACGACATGGAACGGTTTTTGAAATGATTGCACTTATTTTCCGATAATGTTGGTCAGCCGATAATGTTATTATTGTTATTGCACGTCACGTGACAATTTTCGTTTCCACGACTATTCGCGCACGAAATGGCTCGTAGAACTCGTAACAGGCGCCATTCCTTCACGTGTCGCATTGCCGTATCTAACTATAGTGTAATTTCTACCGAGGAGGTAGACGCGACTTGCATAACACTTTGCAATAAGCCACGAGCTATGATAAATGTTCTTTTTTGTCTTCGAGTAGCCTCGCACGCGCGTGAACGAGGGCAGCGAAATACACGTGTTTGCAAAAATCAAGGTGTTCTATTTACGGAAAAGGTTTTCAGCTAATCTCCGATAGCCTTCGAACTTTTGCCAAACCGTACGATTTTGCGTCCTAAACCCCGAAAGCATAAAACACGCGGGATGAAAACAAACAAGTTCGGAAAATATTGGTTTGTCCTTGTAGTCTTGAAACGAACGTTTCGCTTCGCATAGATATACAAATAATTTATCCGCAAGTCACTTATTTTTATCGTTACGAAACAATCATTAAAACAAATAACGACTTGTCTTATCTAATATTGTTATCTAACTTCTTATAATTGTTATTTCACGACAATTTATATGCTACCGTTCATAAATAATTGAGAAACACTTGCAATTTTCTTGTGTCTCATGAAGAGTTAAATTAATAAAAGTTTAAATAATTTTGAAGAGATTTATGCGAATCGAGAATATATTATAAGAAAAACATTTTTTTTTCTGTAAAAAAAATTCTTTAATTTCACAGTTACAAAACATTTTATAAAAATGAGTTTTCAATACAAAAAATTCGATATCATTGTGAAAAATAATTGCACTAAGTTAAAAAAAAAAAATAAAAAGGAAAATATTAAAAAAGTATCAATTTCCGATTTCACATAATTAATACAAAATATAAATCGTAGAAATGAAATTAAAAAAGAAGTAAATTTTTACAGCTCTATCTCTCCTCTTTAACATGCATTTTTAACAGCTTCTTGATTTTTTTCGAGGTACTTAATTTTTCATGAGATGCGAGAAAATTGCAAATGTTCCTAAACAGTAATAAAAATCATCTTCAAACGTTACAAGCCGCTTGAATGTCGCGATCGTGTCGTTAAAGAATAATGCAGTATCCCGCGCGATTACGTCTTCAAATAAGTATCCAATCTCTCGGGGGGATCAAAACATGCCTAAACCATACCGCGAGAGAGGAGAATATTCCGCGCGCGTAATCACCGCTAACGCTGTGGAATCCAACGGCGACGTCGTGTTGCTCGGCGGCAAAATCGCGCCCGTTTGTACACCTGAGGAGTGTGTTGCACCACATGGCGACATCGTTCCATCGTTCCATCGTTCCATCGTTCCTCTATCGAGCGCATGTATATGTATGATACGCGAGTACGCGTGCGCTCACGCGACTGTATATATACGCGCTCGTGACCCAGCCATGTAACGTACAAAGATGATTACGTGCTACGAGCGCGCCTCTCGCTCGCGGCGATACTTTACCGATTAGAATGATCGTCCTCTGTCTCTCGCGTCTCGTTTGCGAGACATATTGCAAATTTGCAATATGAAAAGCCGCCGACGCGATTGATTTTGGCGAGAATACAAGACAAGGGTCAAAAACGCCGACGAACGTTAATAACCAGCTCGACCTTTGATCGACCGACGTAGGTCTGTTGTTTTTTGTCTAAAATTTTCCACTGTCTTGCCTTTTTTTCTCTCTGCTTAAGTAATCTTTATATTGCGCATTGAAGATTGAAAATTGGAGATTAGAGGTCTGGTTTTTTCCTTCTTTTTTTTTTTAGCTGAAGGTCCATCTTTTCTTTTTTATCTATATTCAAGAAAAAAAAGACTAGATGTATGATGCAAGAAGTTTAGAACAGGCTTTAAAATTTAATCGATCAGAACGAAACGAGTTTTGTGAATTGAAATTGTCTGATTGGTCAAATTCTCTTTATTCATAAAATTCAGAAAATTTATAATCGAATAGTAAAATCAATGATGAATTATTAATTATGTAGAATTTTTAGTGTGTCAATATTATGAGATGATCAATGTTATGAGATTATAATAATGTCAGATGCAACTCACTGGTAAATCAATAAAACTTAAATTAGATGTAACTTACATGT